CCTCTCTCACCTTTATTATATGTCTTATCAATTGAACCACTAGCAAATAATATTAGACAAAATGCAGGGATTAAAGGATTATGAATGGAAGATATGTTTATATGCTGACGATATTTTAATTTCTATTACGGATCCTCTGGTTTCTCTTCCTCATTTAATGCAAGAATTTAACAACTATAGTAGTGTTTCAAATTATAATTTGAACACGAATAAAACAATAGCTATGCCGATTAATATACATAAAGATAATTTATTTTCCCTAAAGAAAGATTTTGACTTTAAATGGACAAAAAAAGAGTTTATATATTTGGGGGTAATTATAACTGCAGATATAAGACGGACTATGGAAATCAATTTTTTGAAGCTGTTAAAAGAGACTAATATGTTATTAAAAGAATGGAGAGTGCATGAAATCTCCTGGTGGGGAAGGATAAATACTATTAAAGCCTATATAATTCCTAAATGGGCATACTTATTCAGTATGCTCCCTCTCTCGATCTCGAGCTATTGGCTGAATATGCTGCAAAATAGCATTACAGCTTATGTTTGGAGAGGGAAGAGACCAAGATTCCCTAACTTCTAATCTTCTAGAACTACTCCTGTTAATAATGATTGGTTAAATAAATCCATTAATGGTTTTGCTAGTACACCACTAAGCTCTTTTAATAACTTTGGTTGTATTCCATCAGGCCTCATTGACTTATTTGTCTTTACCTTTGACAGTTGAAATAGAACCTCTTCCTCTGTTAACTCACATGTAACAAATGACTAATTTGTCCTTTTTCCTAATTGAGGTCCCTTTCCTTCATTTTCATCTGTAAATACTGAACACAAATATTCATTGAGGCAGTCAGCTAGATCATACCCTCTTCTAAATACCTTCCTTCTTTTGTTTTTAATCTGACTAATCTTTGTTTTACTTTGCTTTTCTCATGTATGTATCTAAAAATTGTTTTGTCCCATTTTTTTAACTGACTGTGCTATTTTCTCTTCTGTGTGTGCTTTGATGGATATTTTACCTTGCTTTGCCTCTTTCTGCCTAATCTTATAGATCTGCCTGTCTTCCTCACTTTGGGTTTTATATAATTACTAAAAGCTAACTTTTAGGGTTTTTTTTGTTTTTTTTTTACTATTTTGGCCACTTCCGCTGAGTACCACAGTGGTTTCTTCAATTTTTTGCTTTTACTGACAAGCCTAATGCAATTTTCTGTTGCCTTCAGTAGTGCAACTTTTAACCCCTTAAGGACACAGCTTCAAAAGCTTGTCTTTCACTTAATGACAACAGCATTTTTTTCATTTTTTGCTGTTTGCATTCAACTGCAATTTGCATTTTACTAATTTGTTGCACCAACACATATTATACATCGTTTTTTAAAGGACAGAAAGGGCTTTAATTTGATGTAACACACATATATATAAATGCTTATTTATTATAAAAAAATACAGAAAAATGTAAAAGAAATTAAAATTTTGTGTGTTTTTTACAGTTTTTGCAATAATAATGTGTGCATAATTAGTGCAGGTTAAGAAAAGTAATTAAAAATAAATTAATTGAGTTGTTCTGATTTACAGAATATATAATGTGTCTGGGATTTTAAGGTTTTTTTGGTAGTTACAGGTCACAAAGCACAAGGACTTTTAATGTGGAGCGATCTTAGAATTTGGTATGTTTGTCTTGTAAGCTTAATAGCCATAAAAGAAAACAAAATTGCCACACAAAAGTATATATTTATATAAAGTAGACATCATGGGCTATTTAACTAAGGTTGTTTTGACACTTTCTACGTAGCCATTTCACCGCCAACCTCTGCTAAATATTGGAGTAAAATTGTGTTTTTTTGTGGTTTTTGGCACACAAACTTATAACAAAGAATTTCTCGTGTATATTTTGTAAAGTTGGTGTGTGCTATTCCTGTGCAAAGTTTTATTTTGTGTTCAGTGACATCTGCTGAGTAAAATGACACCCCCGTTGTATGTCTTTGGCACTATTTCGTGAAGTTACAGTGCCATACAGGATACCTGTCCTTTTCAGTATTCACAGTAGAATTTTGAGAGATGGATTTAATGAGCCTTAGCTTCCATTTGGGTATTATAACAGTTTGACTGTTCAAAAAACCCCCACAAAGGCCTCCCATTTGTAAAAGTAGACACTCCAGGGTATCTCATAAGGTGCATATTGTGCCTTAACATGCCCCCATTTTTTCACCAATATATGCCAAAGTATGTGGTAAAAAATAATTTTGTGCATTTTTTACATACAGATTGCATTTTTGCTGGGAGTTTTGTATATTTCATATGTGCCACTAAGTTCAGACCCCCCAAATTATGCTCAGCTAAGTCTTCTGAGTAAAATGACACCCCATATGAATGTCTTTGGCACTATTTCGTGAAGCTACAGTGCCATATAGGAGACCTGTCCTTTACAGTATTCACAGTAGCATTTTGAGAGATGGATTTAATGAGCCTTAGCTTCCGTTTGGAGTATTATAACAGTTTGACTGTTCAAAAAACCCCACACAAAGGCCTACCATTTGTAAAAGTAGACACTCCAGGGTATCTCATAAGGTGAATATTGTGCCTTAACATACGCCCATTTTTTCACCAATATATGCCAAAGTATGTGGTAAAAAATAATTTTGTGCATTTTTTACATACGGATTGCATTTTTGCTGAGCGTTTTGTATATTTCATATGTGCCACTAAGTTCAAACCTCCCAAATTATGCTCAGCTAAGTCTTCTGAGTAAAAAGACACCCCCAATGAATGTCTTTGGCACTATTTCGTGAAGCTACAGTGCCATATAGGAGACCAAGCCATATCCGTTTTTACCAGACTTTGAATTTTGACGCTGGGCATATGTGCAATTTCCAAGCATCTTCGCAGGTTTTAAATTTAAACTACCCCACAAAGGCCTACCATTTCTTAAAGTAGACACCCCAGGGTGTTTCAAAAGGTATATTTTGAACCTTAGCGTAGGATAATTTTTCCGCTAGCTTGTACCAGATGTAGTAATAAGCGTTTTTTCTGCCTTTTTGACATACAAAGTGAGTTTGCACAGTATATTTTGCAAACCTTATGTGTGCTAAATCTGTATAATACTTCATATGTTGCTCAGCTATGTTGGCTGAGTACAGCAATACCTCCGTATGTACCTTTTCCAGGTATATGTGGATGTTGAAGGGGGGTGTTTTTTGTATTTTTTACTTAAACGTTATTAAAACTTTTTTAAGCTTAATTTTTAACTTTTTAAAGTTTATTTTAAAACTTTTTTAATGTTAACCCCTAGTTAGCCTAACTCCAAATCCCCCAGTTCCCCACTAACTTCCACCCACCCCAGCTAGCTAAATATATAATTGTAAAATATTTTAATTAATTAATCAAATAAATTTAACCCCTGAGGGTTAAAAAAAAAGAATGAACCCTCAGGGGTTAAAAAAAAAATTCAGATCATAGTAAAATGTAATCCCTGCCAATTGATCACTGTAGGGGTTAATTTTTTTATTAAAATGGGTAAAGGGGGGTGGGACTTTAAATTAACTTTTTTTTTTACAGCAGGGGGCAGGATCAGCACTGTTCCGGCTCCCTGCACTTCACACAGAACCAGGAAGTGCAGGGAGCCGGAAGGTAAGTATACAGAGCACATGTGCTCGCTCTGACTTGCAGAGGCATACTGGAGCACCATTAACCCTGCGATCGCCGCGATAGCGGTGATCCGGGGTTAATTTTACTGCGTGATGGACGAGGTCCATCACTCGTCATTAAGGGGCTCCCCTCTGTGACGGTCCTCGTTCATCCCTCGGCGTTATATAAATAATTCCATTTCCCGTGGACTCCATTTAAACTGCTCCAGTCTGATAATGACTGCTTTACACATATTCTAATTTTAGAAAAGTCTGTTTTTCTAAAGTATAAAACTTTTGTTTTTGTGTGGTGTGACCGGTCTTATATTAAACTACATTGACAAATGGTCACTGGATCCTAAACTTTCACCTACAGTAATATCTGATACCAAATCTCCATTTGTTAACACTTAATCTAGTATGGCCTCTTTACGAGTTGGCTCCTCAACGACTTGTTTTAACGACAATCCTAGCACAAGCAGCTCTTTAGGTCATAACATTGTAGTCACAGCTGGAACCATCATTTATGACCTAAGTAATGGGGGGATTGTAAACTGCTAATAACTTCTGGTGTTTAATGAGGGTCTATGGATATTTTTCCTAAGTAGTAATCCTATAAGAAGAAGAAATAGAAATGTGATGGGCAAATTTATTTTTTCATGAGTGCCATATGTCACTGTAATCTAATAAGGTTTGAGTAAATACATGTGATGGCACTCAGGGTTGTCTTTGGGTGGAACAATCTTTAAATACATGTTAGTTGAGTTGGTGAAACCACCTCACCCGAAATACCTGAGTATTAAACCAATGACCCTATCAAGTTGTATTAAAGCCTGTACTGCTTAAGGCAATGAGTTTGTTGTCAATGGATAGTAGGGACTAGCAAACATGCTGAGTTGTTCCATGAGAATATATAGTTGCGTTTTTTTTTCTATAAAACTTCCCCAACTCATTACAGTGATCTGTGCCAAGGTGTTATCTCAAAACGTTGACCAAAAAGTAGGCAACAATGTTATCATCAATAAACTGAACAATGTAAGCAATATACAAAGAAAGGTAGAAGGAGAGGGGAGGGTTATGGAAAGAAAAAGGTAGGGAAAAGTTGGTAACAAAGCTTAGCGAAGGCAAGGTATATAAGTGGGGAAATAATAAAGAAGGCAGACAACTTAAGAATGTGAGATGGAGGAAGTACAACATGGCATATTAATGTTTTATTGTCCCCTGGAATGGCATTGTGGGATACAGCAACTTTGGAAATGCAGGAATCAGAGCTGGGTTAGATGTAAAGTATGTAGTCTTCTTCTGTACGTGTAAGTTCCCATAGTGGACATACTATAATCCAGTTGTTCAGGATTATAGTATGCCCAGTGGGGTAATACTTTAGTCCTTTAGCTCACGCTGCCAGTTGGAGAAGAGTTGCCGAATGGAAACACCAGTTGTTGCACTGTGGGATGTCAAAGTTCCAGTATCTATATATGGGTCCGCATAGAGATGTCTTCTCTAGACCAGGAAAATCCAGGTAAGGTAAAGCTGTGTTATTTTGAAAGAGGCAGGCAAGAGTCACTTGACAGTGGTCATACAGGAGGTCCAGATATGTGACAGGAAACTGCAGTCAGTGCATTTAAGAGTCATTGCGCCGTTACAGTCCATAATGACTGCGCCGGCGAGGCTCATCTTCCTGTCCGCCCGCACCTCCCATGCCTCACCCTTCTGTCAGTCCCTACATTGGCTTCCCATAAAATATAGAGCTCAATTTAAAATTCTGGTTCTTGCTTTCAAATCTCTACATAATGCTGCTCCCACCTATCTATCCTCCCTTATACACAAGTATGTCCCATCTAGGCCCTTACAATCTGCTGAAGACTTACGTCTATCTTCTGTCCATACTCCCACCTCCGATGCTCACCTTCAAGATTCCTGTGGAACTCGCTTCCCTCCTCCGTTAGATGCTCACCCAGTCTCCACTCCTTCAAAAAATCGTTAAAAACCCACTTCTTCATAAAAGCGTATCAATTAAACTGTTAATAGCTCCTGACTGATTCCTCTTCTGCAACTGTCACTAGTCAAATGCTATCCTTACCTTTTTGTGTCATTTTACCCCACTCCCTCTAGCACGTAAACTTATTGAGAAGGGCCCTCAACCCCTCTGTTCCTGTGTGTCCAACTTGTCTGGTTACAACTACATGTCTGTTTGTCCACCCACTGTAAAATGCTGCGTAATTTGACGGCGCTCTCTAAATATCATAATAATAATAATAATTTATTAGGGTGTGTGATTACTTTTACGTGACCTAGATCCCATGGAGGTGTCACCTTGGGTATTCCTTCTATGTTTAGAAGGGGTTTGCTATTGTTGGTGTTGTGGTACCTGAGAAAGAGGTGTTGGTTGGACTGGAATACCTGTCAGCAATATGCACTTTAGGCAAGTCCAAGCCCTGGGCCACATCCTGAACCGACGAGAGAGTAGGATGAACCTTTATATGATGTGATTAAGGAGAAAGGGAATCCCCAATAATATCTGATATTTCTGGTGCAGAGATGGTCTGTTATTGGATGTAGTGCCCTTCAAGCTTGGAGAGTTTCCCATGATAGACCTGGAACCCTCTGAACCTTTAGAGCTCAAGGGAGCTGAGCCTTCATGGGAGGATTCCAGCGCCATATTGGGGAGATTGCTGGAATGAAAGGGATCTTTTTGGGGGTCCTATGTTAGATTGTTTGTCAGATGCTGGTGGCTTTGATCAATCTCATATAGCTCAGAGGTTGACACCTTCCTCCTGTTTAAAATGACAAAGTCTACTCTTTAACAGATATTTTCTATTTAAAACAAATGTGACACCTATAGACTTTCATAACTAAAATATTTTCATTTGATTTGCAAAGCACTTAATCCATTTCCAGAACCACAATATCATTCAAACTAATATAGCATTTGGAAAGTTTACAAGTTGTTAATATGGTGACAAAATATTCTATATTTGCAATAACCATGTTTTACACTGTTACCCATTAATACTTTGCTGGGCTCTGAAACTGCAAAATATTATAAGTCTGTTGTTTAAAACTATTTTATGGCTATTCCTTAGTCCATTTTATTTACTAATGCCTAATCCCTTTGTATAGTAAATATTTTATTTTAATTTCCAAAAATGTGTAACTGGACTGATGGAAGGTATAAAACAAAGGAACATCAAATTATTACTCTGATATTAAAATAATAAAATAGTAAAGTGAAAACAGTTCCTATATTTAAATAAGAAAAAGATTGAAAATACAATATATATGTTTTCATAATAAATAGTTTGTTAAAAAAGTAGATTTTGTTTAGTTAGGTTAATGTTTGCTTTTTGTTTCTAGCAAAGTTCAGTGATACACTTTAGTAATCCTCTGGAAATTCCAAGAGTTTTTCATGTTATTGTGAAATCATGTTTACCCCTCAATAAAAAATGTGAAGAAAATAAGAATTGACAGTTTTATTGAATTACTGCCCTCATGACTTTCTAATCTAATCGACATTTTGAAAGTGATAATGTTCTGTGATGTGGTCAGAGATAGCTGGCCATGTGTATTGAAATTATTTTTTTTTTTGCTTTGTTTTTTTCAAAATAAAGATTTGTTTTACTCAGAGAATATAATTTTTTTTTTTGTAAATGTCATTTGGTAATTATTGCCTTGTCTAAGAGTGAGATGCATGCTCACAAAGCACAAATAACAACGAAGATCTCTAAAGAATTAATAACAGTATACGCTTCGTTCTTTCACTTGTTATAAAATTTATTCATAACAATTTGCAGTGAATAATCTACTCAAGCAAATAAAAAAAATATAAAAAACATATGCAAAGAAATATTACTAAAAAAAACAAGTATTTATTTTTGGATGCAAGGGTATCCTCTACAGCTATTGTTTACCAACTGTTAATTTGTATTCTTATGATGTGTTCTTAGCTAAACTGGTTTGGCCATATTTCTAGCAAGTGTTGATAAAACTGTTTGCTGCAAAGTACATTTTTAACAAAAATATTAATGCATCGCTTTAGAGGTGCAATGCAGAATGATGTGGTGATGATTTATGCTAGAAACTTTCAGGCAGAATTCAACAAGATACATAATAGCAGACTTAAATCAACGGACAATCTTTATAACAAGCTATATTTAATGTTGGGCCGTACAAGATACCCATTGCTTAAACGGTATTACCACTTAGCCATAAATAAAACCCAGTGAAAATGAAAGCAAAGAAAATATAATTTCATTTATAGGACAGTAAATAAATATATTATGGATCTCTTGTGGATTTCTTTATGCGGTTTTTAGCTGTGTGGACATCTGAGGGCTACATACATTTTAAGTGTGTTACTTCAAAAAGGTTTTATTTTACATTTAAAAGAGTTTTCATCTCTTGTTTTAAATGGGAACTGTTTACTCCTAGAATTTGTAATGTTGTGATTACTTATTGCATATATTTTATAAAGATGTATTTGTAAGTTGTGAAAAAACTGAATAAAACATAGAAATCCACACCTCTTGCAACTGGGTGCCTCCATCTTAGTTCCCTATTAGTCATTGTTATAAGTTCTGCCCTTAGCACCTGGCACATTTGCACATCATCATAGAAAAAATAGAGAGAGAAGAAGTCAAATGAATCATTCTTTATATAATCTTTTGTAATGTTTGCCCTGGCGTTGCTTGTCTGAACTAGATTGTGATGTCATTTGCTAAACATTTCATATAAATCGTAAAAGAAAATGAATTATCTCATGAAAAAAGTTAACATAAGCTATATGGGATTTTAAATGTTTTATTCAATTGTGAAATTTCCAATGATACAATGATGAAGAAAATCCCCAGGTGGTACTAGAACATTGACCTGTTTCTATACTTGTTTGTAATCGCACATAGTATAGTGGATGTTCATGGCAATATGAATGAACAGATATTGGAATACCAACATTTCTATTTTAAGGCATATTTCAAAGCCAAGGCTGGGAACCCGGCAAATTAAATAATTTTGTGCAATGACTTTTTGTATTATGTGTGTGTGTATGTATATATGTATATGTATGTGTATGTGTGTATATATATATATATATATATATATATATTGTCAATACATTGTTAAACAAAGATCTGCACATTATTTAAGCCATAAGACTTGCTTTTTCCACAGAAATCTCAAATTTGTTAGTGGTGTTACTACTGCAAGGTATTTTGGTTGGGCATATGCAAATTAGTTCAACAAAGAATCACATTGTTGCCTCATTATTCCATTTTAAAAATGGATTCCTTGGAGTTTATTATCTCAAAAGTGACTATTGGAAACAAATTCTCAAGTGCTCTCAGTGCATTTAAATTCACACAAAGTGATTAATAGTGATACAATGTGATATCACATAAGTGAGAAACATAGTAATCTCAAAAACTTTAAAAAGTGTTAAAAAAACCTTAAAGTGTTAAAATATTGTGCAGATAAATACTTAGCAGCAATTGATTTTCATAGGAGTTAAAGTGACCTCAAAGAAAATACATAGGACAACACAATAGTGCAATATATCTAGACAAGGTATTATAGTATATTATAAAAGAGGTTTCTTATAAATGCTCACTCACGTGGACTAGAGCCTCTCTTTTTGGCTCAATTTTTGCATTTCAGAGTCTTAAGGGAGACTCTACACCCTCTTATTACCAGGTTATATACCATGAAGATAAAAAGTGGAGAGTAGCGATATACAGTGTAGTATTTTCATAAATATTGTAATATTAAAAGGAAGATTAGAACCACTCACATGTTCAGGAGCCTGTAATTACGTCTCTCTTCAAGTGTAATGAATCCCTAAATAGAAGGGACACTCTCTAAGTATTAAGGAGAATGTAATCCAGGATGAGCACTTCCAAATTTAGGTGTAAAAATCAGTTTCCAAATAGGGTACTCCAAGTAGTAAATATGTATTTATTGAGAATATTCTTTAAATTATGATTAACAAAAAAATTATATTAAAAAAATAAGCAGATAAAATTTCACAGGAAATGTCCTTTTTGTTAAATAAAAACATGTTTCACCTTTTCTCAGGCTTCCTCAGTTTGCATGTAAGGGTCCTGTTGTAGTTGTGCTTTATATAGCTCTCAGAGTCCTTTTGCGATATTGGCATGAGTTCCACGCCTTGTTTTGGTGCTCCTAAAAAAGGGTCTGTTTTCCAAACCTCATTTTCATATAGGGAAAGGGAAACCACGACAGGGCAATGAGGAGAAGTAAAAATGTGTTTAAATAAGCCTTTTACAAATCTGATTGGCTGAAATCGGCTTTTGACCACAGAACATGCGTGCACGTCTCCCGTGTGACGTCACACACCCCCATGTCATCACCACCATGGGCGGACGTGGGGCTATAATTTGGCATGGATCCGCAGTGGCCGGCATCCACCAACATGTTGCAGGAGTCAGATACAGCATGGCCGCTGAGCGCAGATACTGCAAGGTGAGGATGAATATGTTACACTCCACACGTAACGCCAAGCCTCAATAGCAAGCCAGTAATCAACATGTCTTGAATGCACTTTTTTTGAAAAGCCAGTGAGTGCTCTTATCTTTTCCTTTGTTACATATTGGGCTGTTCAGCACCATAATTATTTTGACTTATGTATTTATGGGCAGAGTACTAGACTCTTCCAAATAAATAAATAAATATATATTTATATATATATATATATATATATATATATATATATATATATATATATAATATGTTTTGGATTCTGATGAATTAAACAATTAACTGGCATTTTTTTTTTTTTTATAATTTTGTCTAAATCTGAATATTGTTTCAGAAATTACAGAAAAACTGATGACCAGTACAGTCATCTCTTAATCTCTTCTTCTTTTCAAATTCCCCTAAAATCTTGCTTATTAATACTCACTCTCCTAAACTTTCAAACAAGCAAGCCTAGTTCTTGCACCATGTTAATATTACAATGTTAATTTTACACCATGTTAATCATCACACTGTCAACATAAAGATAATATATAGTATGTGTGCAATATATTATTACTTTTTTAAGGAATAATGGTTGACTTAGATGAAGAAGTTAAGTAAAATTTTTAAGAATTTTGGTACGACCAAATTCAAACTGAATCTGAAGTTGTTCTTTTTTTTACTTCAAATATGAATACCATTAAAGTAATGTGCAATATCAGAGCGGAGAAGGAAGATCCATAGGAACAATGCAGTCCTAGAGAAGTCTTGAAGAGGGGCATAACAGCTGTGAGTACAAACAGAGGATAGACGTAGGTTTTTGGCAGAGAGTATGTGCCTGGATGGGACATACTTGTGTATTAATGAGGATAGGTATGTAGATTGGAGATTTGTAAGTAAGTACCAGAATTTTAATTGAGGCTTATTATTTATGGGTAGCAGGTGTAAGGACTGACAGAGGGGGGAGGCATGGAGCCTGCTAGCGAACAGGGAGATAAGCCTCTCTGATGCATTCATTATAGATTGTAACTGAGCAAGCTGGGAATGTGTAAGCTCACTGAGACACCTATATAAAACAGAATACAAAAAATCTAGTCTACAGTAATAGTGAAGCAAACTTAAATAAAAGTTTAATTATTTTTAATTATATAATCCATAACAAGGGTTTGAGTTGACAGAAATGATATATATAATCTTAAATTTGAGTGTCTCTTTGTACCATTTTAATATTTTCTTTCTTTTGATCTATAGCTAATACTTCACCCAATAAATGTCTCCTTTCACACAGTGAAATTTTAAAGGTTTTAGTGTTTTGCTTATTCAATTAATTTTCACTAAACATGCTCAACCAACAGGAAAAGCAAACATGTTTAACTTTAATTGAAACTGGATTTCAAAAGAAAACGTTTGATTGAAAATTCTGATTCAAGAACCTCTTTATGAGTTGAAATTGTTTTACAAATTATTATGCTTACTCACCTCCCAGCCTTTTTAAAATCTATCTTTGATTTACTGATTGACATTTTGAAGACACAAAAACTTGTTAATGCTTATGGTGTCTATGTTTGTGATAAACCATATCAGATATCCCTATACAGTTACCCAACTAACTAACTAACTAACTAACTAACTAACCCCTTTTTAATAGGAAATAAATCCCGACACATACATGCCACATTCCTCCAATTTATAAAATAAATGTCTGTCTGTAGAAATGTACAAAACATATACTTAGAAGGTGGGTGTCCAAGGTAAATGGGTTAATCTCATACGAACTATCATTAAGGTTTGTATAGAGAAGGAATTGCTAAAATTGTGTAACTATTGTCATAAAATATCACTGATTTGTTGAATCTGTCATACTAACTCTGTCTGGTTTGTAAAATGCACACTCCAACCTGAGGATGGATAATTAATTGCTTACCTTCCAACCAAATGCATAAAAACTTTTGGTTTTGCATTGGAGAGAACATAAATTCATTCCTACCTTCCCATCAGCACTGATTTTCACTATGCAGAGAAATGAATCTCTCAGCCAACAATCAAATCTTTTCTCTGTGTATGTAAAACAATTGACTGTAGATAGTTCCCCCACACTATCGTAACCTTGGGTGAAACTTCATGGCTGAATTCTATAAACCAAGGGGGAGAACTGGGTTCTACACACACTGAGTGCACTACAGGAATTAGCTGCAATATTAGTTTTCTGCAATAAGTACAAGATAAGAGATATAATACTATCTTTTAAAAAAAAATACCATTAATTTTTCTGTAAATGATAGGCAAATAAATGTTAAATATTAAAATTCACATACATTTTTATATCACTGAACAGCAATCTTTACACTTAAATCTTCTGTTTCAAATTGTAATATTAATGTGAACATGGTATGGAAGTGGTAAATGTATGAAACATTTCTTTGTGGTAATATGCTCATTTCCATTCAAATCGAAGATTATTATTCACAGCAAGTACCATATATCTCGAGTTTCTTGCTAATTTAAATCTAACAAGCATGTGTTTTTTAAGTGCTCCTATGAAACCATTTTTTTATTTTACATAAGCCTTTTAAAGGTTTTTGTGGAATTATGTTTTGTCAGTTTGTGAGTTTTAACCATTTTTTTTTCAATTACCTGCAAATTGTTTTTATTCTTCTGAAAAATATTGTTGTATTCACTATATCCTTTTATATCATTCATTTTACTTCGATTTTCTGAGTGGGTTGAGTACACCTGTAGAGGAAATTAAGGAAATAAAACTGAAATGAAATACTTTTCAGTGATATAGTGAAAAAAAGATTAAACCTTCTCTCCTAACTGGTATATTTTTGCAAAGGAGAAAAAGGGTATATATCTGTTGATACCATTAGCTCACTGGTCAGATATCTGATTATTCTAAAGTGAGGTACACAGTTAGATCCCTTAGTATCAAGACAAAGGAAAAGAGGAAGACATTCAGGTTACAGTTTTTAGAATATTAGACTAGGTGATATTTGGATTATTCTGTACATTCCCCTTATGTTAAAATGTTGATTTTGTTTAGTTAAAAAAGTAATGAATGAAGACATACAGATTCTGTGTATTTCATAACACATCCTTAGAGAGCAGTAACATTTTATTACTATCGTATTGTTTTTCTGTTTCTGATTATATTTGTTCAAATTGACTTAACATAATAAAATAAAAAGCGCAACTCTACATTAGGAATACCAATTTTTTATATAGTGGAAGGTGGGATGTATTCAATATCATCTAAAAATGTAATCTAATATTTAATTGTAAAAGAAAAGCTTATAGGTCTTTGAAGTTATCACATTATGATTTAAAGACACTCTTACATCATGAAACATGTGTATGAAATATATTTAAAATAAATAAGATCAAATAGAAGCATTGCAAACAGCAACATAAATCTTTTAAATTTTTCATTTTTTTATAGTATTTTGCTTGATTTGTGACAAGTAGAGAACAAGCTTGAAAAATATAAGCCAATAGTTTAGTAGAAAAAAAAATGCATTGTATTTGTCACATATCCTGGTTCTGCTATCACATATCAACTTCTGAAAATGTAAAATTCTGCTTAAAAATATAATGAAGTTTGCAGAAAGAAGAACAAAAACTGATAAAAAAAAATATAAACAATTTTATTGGAAACCCATTGTGTATAATCATGCACCCAACAATATATTATTATTATTATTTACATAGCTCCAAGAAATACTGCAATGCTTTACAATGAGTGAACTAACAAACATGTAGTTGTAACCAGACAAGTTGGACACACAGGAACAGAGGGGTTGAGGGCCCTGCTCGATGAGCTTACATGCTAGAGGGAGTGGTGTTAAGTGACACAAAAGGTAAGGATAGTATTAGAGAAGTAGATTGGTAGAATAGTGTGTATATATATATATATATATATATATATATATATATATATATATATTTTAACCCCTTAAGGACCAAACTTCTGGAATAAAAGGGAATCATGACATGTCACACATGTCATGTGTCCTTAAGGGGTTAAGAACAAAATTAAATTTCCTTAGATAGCAGGACATACCAAACAAAACAACAAATATTTATGTATAAATCTCACATAAATCAAGCACAAGATGTAAGCAGGGTGCGAGATGTTAACATCGGGTGGGGGCTTTAAATTAAATAATGGAGGTGGGCAGATCACTGTCCACCCCATCTACCCCGAACTTTGGCCAGTGGGTGTGAGGTATTGAATTAAAAAAAATGAGGGGACAGTCTTGTGACAACACCCAGTCACTTGTGTCCATACCAGGAGGCTCACATCTGAACCCCAAAAAGGACTCTCTCGAACCTACCCTCCATGCCAACCACCCAAAAGCTCCACTCCTCAAGGCTGGCCAATGAGTCCAGGGAGCAGCGAGGACTGTAGTGGGACTTGATTGCAATTATATGGAATTCCGGTTTGGCAGCACCTACTCACATTCCCTGGCCATCTTCCACCTCTGTTTCCCCAACCTCCTGACCACCCAGGAGAGCACTAACTGGAGGGGAGGTACAATAGACTGAGATGAACAATTGATACCTGATATTCAGGGGGAGTGCCCCATTTTCAGTTCCAGATGTTTGACTGGTGAACTGCTTTCGGCATGGAATTTTGTAGTGGCTAGTAAAATCTTTACCCCTGTGGGGATTTTGTTTATTCTCCATGGATCGGAGCACTATTTTGCCAGCCTACCTTTTGCAGATATACCTGAACTCGGACAACCTTGATTTTACATGCCATGATATTTGTGCCAACTCTCTTCAGTGGTCTCTGACCACTCTGGGCAGGGATCTGGCTCTTGCCTATATAATCCACTTCTTGTCTCTGCCAGATTAATAATCTTTAATCAATAATCTTTGCCAGATTATTTTGATTCCGGTGACTTTCTAATAAAGCTTGTTCCTGTTTGTTCAACCCGTTGCTGAATTTAGATCATCTCACTTTGTTGCTTCTCCTTCCCACTAACCTCGGCTTGCCTTACTACAGTACCATATTTCTCTCCCATTCTGTCATCTCTGCTTAGGACCAGAATGTTTAGGAGCTCAGCCAACTGGGTAATAAGTGGCTACTTCTGGCAGAAATCCTTGCTGATTCAACTGCTGGACTCCAAAGCCTATACAACATCTATGTCATTACAACTACTAATATAAAATATACCAGGAGGTTGACATATAATTTTCCACCCTTCAAACTAGGCCCTTGTTCTACCTAGGCCTGTAGCAATCTTCCCCTCTTAATAAAATACCCTACCTAACTCCTTTGCCATAATACTTGTGAGGGTGCCCAATAAATCTAATACCCGTGGTAAAAAAATATTTGTAAACTATTTATATACTTATTAGGTGTCTTATTTCTTCTAAATCTTCTTTTCTTCAGCCTCAAAAAAGACTATAAAAATCTACTATTTCTTGACATTACTATTAAAAAAAAAAAAAAAAGATAAAAAAAATTGTGTTGCAACAGCAAATAGATTCAAGTTGGCCATTTGATGGCTCCATATTGTGAATATAGGGTCCTATAATTATTGTATACATGGATTACATTGCAGCTACGTTGGATACACACATTAATAGATGCACACACATACACACCTGCATAATCATGATCTGGCACACACATATATACAGAAGGCTGGGCCTGAAGTTGTGGGAGGGGCTTGGTTTCCCTTCTTAAGGAGCACCAGCCCCCCCCCCACTCCCGTCTCAGGTCTGGCGATTTGCAATAACGTGACTTCCGGTCTGTTCAAATTGCCATTTACTTACCTGTATCTCGTGGAATGCTCACCTGGTCCTGTAGTCCCCAGTCTTCTGTCCCGCTGTCTCTTGACTTCCAGAATCCCGACAGGACATCGGCACTGCTTTGGTCGTGTCAGGACTTATCTTTTCAGCTCCGTTCCGGTATGCGGAACCGTCCCCGTCCCCTCTCTGACGCGGCTCTCTCAAGCCTTATAGAGAGACTGCGCCAGATTCAAAATTGCTTAGTGATTTCTGGTTGTTACTGCCGCAATCACATTGCCGGCTAAGCTCTTCTCCGTTATACTGTGTACCGAACCTTGGACTGTTTAAACGGATTACTGCCTTCTCATCTCCCTTTGACCACGGACCATGTATTGGATTTACCTGCTCTCTTTTTAATTATTGGAAACCGGGCTGTTTGATGTTTAATCATCCTACGGACTCAAACTAACCTGTCTTTGGAGGACAACTCCCAGCAATCATAAGTATACAATGTGAAAGTATCTCTGAATTCTTACTTTGCTAATGAACTGTTACCTGCTTGCTAAAATCTGCTACTACTAAAATACTATTACAATTATTAATGCTTTATGTCTTCAACTAACAACCTGCAAAAGCCATGCTGCCTTAAAGCTACAGTAGCCTTATTAATTAAAGGATTCTCATTTCACTCTCTATAATAAAAATAAGGAAATTTATAATCTGCAGTTGTGTTCCACATTTAAACCACTTGTAACATAACAGGTCGTTTCAAGGACTGTCCAGTAAAAAACATAAATCAAGCCTCCCGTCGCACCTCGGTCGCGGGTGCTCACATCATTCTGGGTCGGGTCTGACTCTTATTCAGGCATCTCTGTTAATTTTTATCTGTTCGCGGCCATATGAACAGCCATACGAATGGTCATACAAACACTTATGTTTTATTACTTGTCTTTCAGCTACTTCCAGCTGTTCGTGCTCATTAGGTTTAGCTGGCTTTTAAGGGAGCATGCACATAAACACACTTGTTCAGTGCACGAACAAGTTGTCATTGAGTTCTTAAACTGTTATTTCGGATGGGTTTGGTTGGTGTGGAGCGTTTTGGTTATATACGAAATTTAGTAACCGCATTGCCGTTCATAAATTTATAACCAAGCTCCCTACGTTAGCTATAGACTTTCACATGCTTATGTGAATGGGGGTTTCTCTATGTACTTTTTGTTTTGTTTGTTTTACATATTGGCTTCTGGTGGTCAAATTTTATTATTGCAAGTAGTTATATAGATTGTCTGCTTGTTGTATTAAGATAATTTGTTTAGGTAAAACAAGCATTTGCTTATTGGTTGTGTTACGCTTATTAGACGATCCTGGAATAACATTTTTCTAGACACATTATTTCAGTGTTCTAGGTCTCTTGGTTCTTATCCTAGGTATGATCTTTTGATTTAACAAAATGTACATTAAACTATGGTGCTATTGTCATTTATGTTCATATACTGAATTATATGCATTTTATGTTTCAGTTCCTCGCAGTGCTCAACATTTGGGCCTCAGCACTCCTACATTCACTTCTCACTGTGTATATAGGTTAGTGGTTATAGTTATTCTGGCCACATCTGGCCTCATTAGGGTCTGGTCCTTCTATATTACTAGCTACTAGGCCATCCAAGCCTACTTTCAAATCATTTAGTGCCGGTCCACTTTTCTCAAGTAATACACCGGTAGGTATCTTTGTAGTATGAGGTGTAAAGGGGTACTTTACGATATGGGTTCTACAACTTACAATTAATCTCATAGGTTATTACAGAAGGTTGTTTTATCTGATCCTGCTCCTTTACTATAGCTCATCAGGTATGTTAATCTCTTTTCTGTTCATACCCTCCTACTCTGTTATGGTTCTTAGAATAGGTCCATACTGGCTTGTAGGATAGGAGGCCTCTGGTGATAATTTTTTCCAGGCCTTGTATGCCTTAGCTTAGTGGCCCCGCAAGGCCATCACCCATCCTGCGCCGTTACAGTCCATAATGAATGTGGCAGCGAGGCTCATCTTCCTGTCCGCCCGCACCTCCCATGCCTCACCCTTCTGTCAGTCCCTACATTGGCTTCCTATAAAATATAGAGCTCAATTTAAAATTTGGGTTCTTGCTTTCAAATCTCTACATAATGCTGCTCCTACCTATCTATCCTCCCTTATACACAAGTATGTCCCGTCTAGGCCCTTACGATCTGCTGAAGACTTACGTCTATCTTCTGTCCGTACTCTTACCTCTGATGCTCGCCTTCAAGATTTCTCGAGGGCTGCACCGTTCCTGTGGAACTTCCCTCCTCCATTAGATGCTCACCTAGTCTCCACTCCTTCAAAAAATTGTTAAAAACCAACTTCTTCATAGAAACGTATCAATTAAACTGTTAATATCTCCTGACTGATTCTTCTTCTGCAACTGTCACTAGTCTTATACTATCTTTACCTTTTTGTGTCATTTTACCCCACTCCCTGTATGTAAGCTCATTGAGCAGGGACCTCAACCCCTCTGTTCCTGTGTGTCCAACTTGTCTGGTTACAACTACATGTCTGTTCGTCAACCCATTGTAAAGCGCTGCGGAATTTGATGGTGCTATAATAATAATAATAATAATAATCCTCACCTCTAAGCTATGTTCGCCGCTCGGGCCAAATCATAGTTTCGTTGGTTGCATAGTAAAGACCTCACTTGTCACTCCCATTCTGTCTTATGTTTGTACATGTCACCGAGAGGCCATCACCCTGCCACAACATTTTGTGGCCACAAATTCCACTCACGCCAACTCATAGATAGAGCCTCTCAAGCCGCTTGGTGATTAGCAGGGCGTCACCTGTCATATTGTTAGGTAATTTTTTGCCACTTGGCATTAGCTAGCCAGCCAGTATATGTAGTAGGCCCCACATAACCTCCTATTTTTAATTATAGTGTGTCGCAACTACCTGAAGGCGGGGAGGAATTATCTATCCCCAGCACACCTGCCAGATCCGTAACTCCATCTTGTGGTGGTGATACCGCAAGCCCTTTATCACTCAGATCCTGGACCATTGCAAGGATCACAGCAGAATTACGCAAAAGAAACTTCCCCTATCTGGCTACGGCCAGGAAAGCTGAACTGTATAGGTTACTTAATATCTAGACCGATAACACTGGGGCTGGAGAGAGTTCCAATAGTGGCCAGTCTTACGATCTACAGGCTGTTTTGTCATCGGTTCTATCCTCTTTGGGGTAAATCAATGACAAGTTGGATAGGATGGACTCAAGAACCCAACTGAGTTCACCATCAGCACTGGTTACTCCTGATTCCACTAATCTCCCGAGCACCCAATCTGGTAATATTCCAATTGGCCCTAAGAACCCACATATTTTTAACCCTACACATATGGTGCCAGCTTACTTAAAAAAGGACATCTTGGAGGGGAAAGGCGAGAATTTGGTCTCACTCCTCATTGCCTCCCAAGATGTCATTGAGAACAAGACATATGCTATGGTGACGTGTCTGTAGTATTGAAATCCAGGGATCCCAGACTGAATCGCAAATTGAGCACACCGGAATTTTTTCTCGCATTTGGGCTATATCGGGATGGGGTTTGTTCAGTATATCCTGACAGGAGGGAAGAATTTCCCAGCTGGTGGACTTGGGGCACAAGTATGGTGGTACGTTCTTTTACGACTACCACGCTCTTTCTCTGCAAGGGCACCTGCATCACTGGCCCAATTCAACTACCAAGCAGACTGGAGTATGCTGAATATGGAACTGTTTTGTAGACCCTTTGGGGGCCTCAAGACACCAGCTTGTACTTTCTGCTCAGCCACTTCCCACACCATTAACTTAGATCTTACTGCCTGACATCCCTTACTTATTGTTGGGAGTCCCTGATGGGTGCCTTTTTAGATATATATTTTTATCCTTTTTAGTGTCTTTCATTTTATTGCTACAATATTAAGTCTCCCATCCATACTACAACCCTCCTCCTATCTAATTCTCCTATGGATATATAGTTCTGTATGTATTTTTAGGATTATATCCAAACTCTGTTCCATTTTGGATACCACTTGGAATTCATGTCATTTAATCCAGTTATGTAACACTATGATCAATGTACATATCTGTATTGTGTAGGTGACTAGTGTTTTTCTATTTTTCTCTTGAGTACTTTAATTTTTAGTTAGTATTTTAACAATACTTATTATTTTTTATGGTTATATAAATTTAGAATATATAACTTACTAGATACCCATACATATTATCATGTCAATCAGACCCCTGTTATTTCATTACATTACAAGTATATAGTTGTTTTTTGATGTACTGGCTATTTACACAATACTAATGTGTAAATGTACAGGTGATACTCGAAAAATTTGAATATCGTGCAAAAGTTCATTTATTTCAGTAATGCAACATAAGAGGGGAAACTAATATATGAGATAGACCCATTACATGCAAAGCAAGATAGTTCAAGCCGTGATTTGTCATAAGTGCAATGATTATGGCTTACAGCTCATGAAAACCCCAAATCCACAATCTCAGTAAATTAGAATATTACATGAAATCAATAAAACAAGGAGTGCACATAGAACAATATCGGACCTCTGAAAAGTATAAGAATGCATATGGACTCAGTACTTTGTTTGGGCCCCTTTTGTAGCAATTACTGCCTCAATGCGGCGTGGCATTGAAGCTATCAGCCTGTGGCACTGCTGAGGTGTTATAGAAGACCAGGATGCTTCAATAGCAGCCTTCAGCTTTTCTGCATTGTTCGGTCTCATGTCTATCATCTTTCTCTTGGCAATGCCCCATAGATTCCCTATGGGGTTCAGGTCAGGTGAGTTTGCTGGCCAATCAAGCACAGTAATCCCACAATCATTGAACCAGGCTTTGGTGCTTTTGGCAGTGTGGGCAGGTGCCAAGTCCTGCTGGAAAATGAAGTCAGCATCCCCATAAAGCTCGTCTGCAGAAGAAAGCATGAAGTGCTTCAAAATCTCCTGGTAGACGGCTGCATTGACCCTGGACTTAATGAAGCACAGTGGACCAATGCCAGCAGATGACATGGCTCCCCAAATCAACACAAACTGTGGAAACTTCACACTGGACTTCAAGCATCTTGAAGTGTGTGCCTCTTCATTCTTCCTCCAGACTCTGGGTCCTTGGTTTCCAAATGAGATGCAAAAGTTGCTCTCATCAGAAAAGAGGACGTTGGACCACTGAGCAACAGACCAAGTCTGTTTTTCTTTAGCCCAGGTAAGACAATTCTGACGTTGTTTGTTGTTCAGGAGCGGCTTGACAAGAGGAATACGACATCTGAAGCCCATGTCCAGGATCCATCTGTGTGTGGTGTCTCTTGATGCACTGACTCCAGCCTCAGTCCACTCCTTGTGAAAGTGCCCAACACTTTTGAACGGCCTTTTCCTGACAATCCTCTCAAGGCTGCGGTCATCCCTGCTGCTTGTGCACCTTTTTCTTCCACACTTTTCCCTTCCACATAACTTTCTATTAATGTGCTTTGATACAGCACTTTGGGAAAATCCAACTTCCTTCGCAATTACCTTTTGAGGCTTTCCCTTCTTATGGAGGGTGTCAATAATGGTTTTCTGCACAACTGTCAGGTCAGCAGTCTTCCCCATGATTGTGATTCCTACTGAACCAGACTGAGAGACCATTTAAAGGCTCAGAAACCCTTTGTAGGTGTTATGGCTTACTTAGCTGATTAGAGTGGGACACTGTGAGCCTAGAATATTGCACCTTTTTCACAATATTCTAATTTACTGAGATTGTGGATTGGGGGTTTTCATGAGCTGTAAGCCAAAATCATCGCACTTATGACAAAACACTGCTTGAACTATCTTGCTTTGCATGTAATGCATCTATCTCATATATTAGTTTCCCCTTTTACGTTGCATTACTGAAATAAATGAACTTTTGCATGATATTCAAGTAATTCATTTTTCTAGTAATACCTGTATAAATCTTTTTCGATACATGAATGACCGCTATATTTCTAATACACATAACTACATATGTAATATTGCTGTTTAAGCCATTACTAATTTGCAGATATAAGAGTTGAACTATAACAAAATCATACCTCTATCAGATCATCTCTATGAGAGGTGGAGTTTTCATCTTCTTCCCTTGGACTATACAGAGGCGATATGTACGTTCCAGCTAGACGTCTTATTAGCCAATCGGAATCACCTATAATGGAACTCTGCCACGTCACTTCCAGTGTGAGGCATGCGTTCCTAAAGCGGGGAACAAGAAACTGGAAGACAGCTCACTAACATCAAGAATGCAAGACTACCATTGCGTCACTTCCGGTATGACGCATGCTTTTCATGAAACTGGAAATTATATTCACCAGGCAGCAATCTCTGATAAAGATCACCATATATAAAAAGAACATTATAAGGACCACCTCACACTTTTGAAAAAGCCTTGAGCAGGCGAAACGCGTCAAGTGGGACTCTCGCATTTAATTTTAGATTCTTTTATTGCTTTTTATTATTTTGTTTAATTGAAATTTACATTTTATAGCTATTTGCTTTCTATTCAACGTTTTGCTTTCTGGTACCAATATACCCTTAGGTGGGGATTATACCACCCATGCTGTTTTAACTAGAGCAAGTCTTGCTCTAGTAAATGTAAGTACATTACTTTATTTTCCATTTTGCTTGTACAGTACTTACTTCACCATTTGAGTTTTTTTTATTTCTCTTTATATTTGTCTCCCTATATACTACACATATTTGCATTGCATTTGGAGCACCGGCATTGCCTACACCATCATATATCCTTAGACAGGGATTATACCGTCCACGCACAACACAGTATAGCTCTTAGATAGCTCAATTAAATGTGAGTGGATCTCATATACCACTAACTTTTCAATTTGTATCCTACTATACTGTATTGCACTATTATTGTGTTTATTGTGTTATTCACAGGTCTAAAGTATTACACCATCTGAAGATTTATGTACGTATTAATTTTGGGCGCAGTATACGCCATTTATTTGTATGCCACTATCTGCTTATCCACGAGGTTTGGGAATCCTTGTACTGTGCACTGCAGCCCTCACTAATAGACCAACTGAACTATAGTGAGCGCCTATCACCTTTGTTTTTTACTTCAATCACTTATTAAGAATTGGAAAATTCTGGGATCTCATGATACCAAGCCAAGGTCAGGTAGACCAAGAAAGACTTCAGCCGCAACTGCCAAAAAAATAGTTCGGGATACAAAGAAAAACCCACAGGTAACCTCATGAGAAATACAGACTACTCTTGAAAAAGACGGTGTGGTTGTTTCAAGGAGCACAAAGTGCCAATACTTGAACAAAAATGAGCTGCATGGTCGAGTTGCAAGAAAAAAGGCTTTACTGCGCCAATGCCACAAAAAAGCCTGGTTACAATATGCCCGACAACACCTAGACACGTCTCACAGCTTCTGGCACACTATAATTTGGAATGACAAGACCAAAATAGAGCTTTATGGTCACAACAAGGGCCGCCATCAGGGCATGATTGCACCACTGCTTTGGGAGTCCCGGGTCCATCTTGAAACAACTGACTTGAACAGATTTGGAACAATTTTTTTTAATAAATATATACAAATATATATTTAGTAAACCCTCCAGTTGCTCTATTAACATCAAAACAAGGGTAAATAAATATGCCTTACCATGTGCTTAATCTAACCATAAATAACAGAAAAAAAAAATCACTTCCTCTCTGCTCAGAATTAAAAATAGCAAATATAAGAAAAACTTTATCTCCAGCTGTTGTATAGTGCATTTTGATTTCTTGTAAAAGTTATTGGTCATGCATTTTCTGCTGTATATAGTACCTTACATTATTAACTATATTGATGTGGTGTTTAGCTGCTTCCACAATCATTATTATTATTATTATCATTATTATATTTCTAAGGTGGTCAGCATAAATTAACATAGGAGGCAAAAAAACTTAAGTGTTTATTACAAGGGCTGTATTGAACTATTTCACACTCTCTCACTTTTTTGTGTAGTACAACAAAACATTATTAAAATATTTTCAATGGGTCCTTTTTGCAATTCTCAATTAAAATACATTTTATTTCAGTAGAAATTGCTAGGTGCTATTTTTTATAATGATATGTTTCTTAACAGTATCAGTAATGTCAATGTGCAAAAACAGTTTTAGCAATAGAATGCACATAATAAGACTAATGTGTCATGTGCAAACAGTGTAATCACAGAGAATGTTTAGCAGTTTTAACTAGATAAAATATTTTACCAATGATTTGTACATATTGCTATGCAAACTAATGCTGAGCACCATTGTATTATAAATCAGACAAAAACATAATTAGTGTACATCAATAAAAATAATAAAAACATACTTTTGATACAATAAAATATTAAATAGTGGGTCACAGCATATTTTCTGTTAAAGTTTTTTTGTGAAAAGTATTCTAGCTAAAAACATATATAAGCAAATTATATGATTGATGGTTTCAGATATAGCAGAAGTGAGTGAACAAAAAGATGGAAATGCCATCTCTAGGGTATTCTTGAGAACATTAATTTTCTTAAATATAACATTAATGGATGCTATCTATTTAGATGCAGGATTTAGAATGAAACAGAAATTATCTAAATGATAGGAAGCATAATCTGGATTATTGTCACAATATGCAGAGAAATGTGTGCATCATTAAGATGAGAAAAAGATTTGATATAAAGCATTAAAAAAAGTATTACTTTAGTGACATTAACAGAATATATCATGACATTTATATATTGTGCTAGAACCAATCTACTCTGTGATTCCATTCTGTAATGTGCCCTAGTGTGCTGTTCGACCAAATCAGTAAGAACCAAGAAAGAGAACATCACAGGACATGATAAATTAAAGTGTCGATGGCATTGTGTATAACAAGAAGGGAAACCTTTACGAAGGAGCTTTTATCATGACAAATAACAGTAAGACCAAGTAATAAATAGCTTTTACCACCATGAGGATAAGGGAGAGTGCATGCAAGAAAGTGCCAGGATGAAAGAAAGGTGAAAAACAGGTATGAACTTCTAATGAACAGGTGGGGAAGTCATAGCCAAGCAACCATTCACAGTGGAATGCAAACCAGAATTATTGCATTGCTGGGCTGAAAAGCCCTGAGTTAAGCCATCCTTTCATAACTAGCCCAGAGCCTGTGTTAGACCAAACAAGGTAGCACCCCTACGTGGTCACCTCCTTTCATCTATGTATAGTGTGTTTGTATAGAGGCTTTATTAAATTAATAATGATTTAAAAATACAAAAACAACAAAAAACTAATATGCATTCTTTCTTCCCTGTTGATACTTTGCAGAGAGGGAGGCATGATGATCTCTATTTGTCCAGTGTGCTCGGAATAGGCACAGAAAACCAATCTTGCAAACTGAAATGGGTAACCCTATATTGGCCCCGTAACTTTCCAAAACACCAAAAACCTGTTGAAGTCAGAAGACTACACGGAACACAAATATGAGTGTTTTAGAGCAGTGCAATGTATAATGCTGATGATATTTTTGGTGAAAAGGCACATTTTTGGGAAAAATGCAAAATCAAATATGAATGCTTATTTTGGCCAGGGTTTGTGACTAAGTGGCTAATAAAAAAAGACTCGACATACCCCATTTTGAATACCACGGATTGTCTACTTTTACAAATGGTATCCCATGATGGGGAGTAATTTTAATTCCTAAGCTGCCATATGACCTCAAAGACAATAGGCCCAGCAAACCAATCTGTCAAATGTCAACGTGTATAAACTGAAAAGGAGAAAGTGCTTTATTTGACCCTGTAACTTTCCAAAACACCATTTAATATGTACATAGGAGTACAGTTGTACTCTAAAGACCTTACTCAACACAAATATGAATGTGTTTTTTTTTCTATGTTTAATGTTTATTACATTTTAGTGACAATACATTTATTACAATGCCATACCACAATTAGATTATTGATAAAACTTTGAGATTACATAAGTGGTAAACATTGGAATAATAATAAGACTTTATGTATCTCTGAGTGCGTTGTTCAATAACAGTGTTTAATCCTATTCCAATGTTAAATTCTTTCATCCATTCATACAAAAAAGGAAGAAAAAAAAAAAAGACCAAAAAGAGAGGGAACTTAGAGATGGTAAGAGATAACATTGAGTTTGGGGAACTCAAGGATATATTGACATACTTAAAATGATATGATATATTCATTTAAAGCCAGTATATATTTTATCTTTTGTATGATTATTTCTCGGGATATTGTTTATTTTTCTTTTAGGATAGGGTGATCCATTTTTTTTCCATATTTTGTTATATTGGGAAAGTTTTCCAGAATTTCTGTAGAATGCCTCTTCCATCTGTCTTTGATAATTAATTAGATTTTTTTTATTTCCATCCAGAATGGTGCTGTAGGAACCTTTCAATTTCTAGCTATTATAAGTTTGGTTGCCATTCTAATATGAATAAGTAAGATTTTCTATTCAGAGTTACAGTTTAGGAAATCTAAATGAAATAAAAAGGTTTGAGGCAATAACCTTGTTAGAGATGTGCCTAGCTGTATGAACATGTTAAAAATATGCCTTTTAGTTCCTGCTAAGTCTTCACATTCCCAGCACATGTGGTAAAGTGTACCTCTTCATTTTGTACATTTCCAAAATTTTCTGAATATCTAGTTTTACATTTTTTAATTCTATGTGGAGTGAGATACCATCTATGGGTAATTTTGAAGAATGTTTCTTGTCAGCTAAGTTCTTCTAATTCTAACAAATTTATCTCCCCATTTTTTCATTGCAAAAGATTTATTTATATCTCTTTCCCATTTTTTTATGTTTTTTTTCTGTATTCTTTAGATTTTTAATGAAAAACATAGTTTTTGTAATTTGTTTTTATAATAGTTACTAATCAGATTATCAAATTCTGGATGTTCTGTAATAGCTTGATAATCGATCAGATGTTTTGGCATAATTAAGCCATTCCCGGTCAGGTAATCCAAATTTTTTATGAATATCTATGAATGGTTTTACTTTCCCTTGGGGGGCAATTTGTATTAATTTCGGAATATTACATTCTATCCATTTAGATAGATTTATATCTAAATATGAGTGTTTTAAAACAGTGAAATGTATCATGTTGATGATATCATCAGTGAAAGTGAATTTCTTTTGAGTGAAACATGCAAAAAACAAATGTGAATACTAACTGTGGCTAGGGTTTGTAAATA